GGCAGGAAACTTTCCACCAAGCCGCAAACACGCGAAAGTCTGTGACAAAACAAGAATTAGCAGCAGCATCTACGTATTTCTAAACGTAAATCTAGGATTGACGAGGCGCTTCAAAATGCAGGAGGCGTTTCAGTCCCTCTGTGGAATCAGGAGCATCGCTGGATGCTTTGCACGATGAGTGCTACAGCTGGAAAAACGTATAGTTAATAAATAAATAAAGGGAAAACCCACAACACATAAACCCCCAAACCCCGCGTGGAAATTGCTCGCTAAGCTACCAAACAGCAACGCAGGTATTTGTCATCCAAGGAATAGAGCGATTTGTCTTCAGTGTCTCATTAGTCAACAGAGGTTAACTAGCGAGCCAGTTAGTGCGTGTTCAAATCCAACCCATTTTCCTTTAAATATGTCTGAGCAGGAATCTGTCCGTTCGGGAATTGTGTGTGGATTATTTCTAAAGCTCGGGCAGGATGGCCTCTGGCGCGACAGGAGCTGCCCAGGAGCTGGGGGTGCCCATCCTTAACCGCATCCCCCCGTTTGCTGAGAGAAGCTTCACAGCAAAAAAAAAAAAAAAAGAAAAATCACTAAAAAACCACGGGATTTCGGTCCGGGATGAAACAAACGCATTCTTGTCATCACGCCTGTGTGAATGGCACGGTGAGGAAAGTGCCTACGTAAAAGGGAAGGGACCCGCATTGTTGTGCGGGTCTATTAACTCCTGCCGTGACCTCGAGGAGCTGCCACGCACCGCCCGAGGAGGGTCCGCGGCCGCAGCCCCCTCTCTCCCCATCCCTATTTTCTCCATAAACACAACAAAACCCGACGTTTCAATTCGTGGATTTAATAAACGGCCAGACCGGTCCCGCAGCAAAAATGTGCACTTTGGAGAGACTTCCCGGAATATATTGATGGTTTTTTGCTCCGTCAACCAAACGTTCGAGACGAGACCCTCTAAAACCGACCCGGCTCCAAAATAACAGTGACCCGAACGTGACGGGGTAGTGCACGAATGAACGACATTTTTTTTTTTTCCCGCAGCAAGTACGCTTTTTAAAACATCAACAACGTCGAAAAAAATATTAATAATAATAACAATAACAGGCGATTCGAGCAGAGGAGCGAGGAGTCGCCCAAAACGCTTCGGAAACCGCAGCAGTTAGAATACAAATACTATTTACCTTGTGATTCTTTCCTGCCCGGGACTGGCTTTATTGTCCCTCCCTGGACCAGCCCAGCCGCAGCCACGCTCCCTCCGTGCCGGGCTCTTTGCTGCCGGGCTGGTGCTGGGAGAGATTTGGGGGGGGCTGCTTTCATTCTTACATTAGGACTAGTTTAATTTGCAATCTGTCAGTCCATCTCCTGGCTGGGGCTCTGAGATGGCAGTGTGTGGCTCTCTCCCTCCTCTCTCCCTGCACAGCATTTACTCACGTTCAAGAGCAGCCAACAGAGACCAAAAAAAAAAAAAAAAAAAGGAACTAATTGAGCTTGTGTCGGTATTGGCTAATTTCTGCTAATACTCTGTAAATTCCTTTTTGCTTCTTAAGCTTCCCCCACGCAGGTTAGGTGTTCCCAAAGCCTCTCTGGAGCTCCAGGAGCCGCTTTCTCAGCCCTGATGGGTGGCTGGGCTTCAGCGCCTGGATGTACACAATGCAAACCTTAACTCCTGGCTCCAGAAACGGTTAAATTGCCCTTTCCCAGCCCCCACCCCCGTTATGATTGACTCTGTTTTTAAATTTGCACTTGTTCCCACCAAGCGCAATCTAACTCGTCCTGTCTCTAAAGTGAACTTGTGTTGAAGGTGAAGTTTTCTATATAGAGGTCACGACACCGAGGCACAGCTTACCGCTCCGAGCTTCATGCTGTATTAAACACAATCAAAACGAACCCCTTTTAGACCTTTTTTTTTTTTTTTTTTTTTTTTTTTTTTTTTTCTCCTTCCCCTCCCGCGGATGAACAAGGAGCAAAAAAAAAAAAAAAAAAAAAAAAAAAATCTCTTAAATATAATAAAATCAGCTCTGTCACGATAACAAACGCGCTCCTGGGCTCGCTCTGTGCCAAGTCCCTTCCTATGGAACACAAACACACCGCACCCCGCGTTGGGTTGGAGCTCTTAAAGGGGAACGTGCGGGGTTGGTGCGGGGACAGCCCACCCTGCCCCGAGCGTGGGGGACACCGAGGGGACGCCACGCACCCGGGTGACCCCAGAAAGTCCCGGTCCCGCCTGTGCCGAGGGGACTCCACACAATCCCTGCACTTCAAAGCGGGGGGTTCTCTCCAGCGACTTCTCGCTGCCCCAGGACGGTGCTGCCTCCCGCTATTGTGCGAGCTTTTTCACGCCAAAGATTTAGCAGAAAAAATAGATATTAAAGCGAGTTATTTGTTAGGCAAACGCGGGTCTCTCCGGGGCGGGGGCACCCGGAGCCAAAGGGCTGGAGCGCACGGTCCGAACCCAGAAAGTTTTTTTAAAATTTTTTTTAAATTAAAAAAAAAACTTTAATGGGTTTCGGTCTATGAAAAATAAGTTACAAATTCTTGCAACAGTAGCTTTGCATGTACTTATTTTTCTCCCATGTCCAGACGGGGTCGGCTATTGAATAAGGCTCTTTTATTCTGCATGGGGCAGGGGATTTGTGGCCATGGTCCCCCTTTTATTCCTCTCTCTATGGAAACCCAGATCATGGGGAGAAATATGCGAGGCTGAATAAAGAAAAGCAGCAGAAAGGACCGCTTGAGAGCGGCATCTGTTACACTTGGGAAGTTAGACTGACAGGAAAGAGCTAAAGAAACCCTCTCCAGCAGATTAGTTAGAACAGCAAGAAGATTTAACTATATGCAGATAAAAACACTATAAAATCCACCATACTCTGCTCTAGGCGAGGTGAGAGCCGCCTCGGCAGGAGCGGAGCCGGGCTCTGCCTTAGCTACATTTGCAGCAAAGATTAAAATGGGACGTTCGGGGTTTTATTTCCCTGCTAGAGACTCTGCCTTAATTAAACGGCGGATCTGAACATCTATTTTCACGGGCGATGGGATTTGAAAAATTGTTTCGGAAGTTAAAGTGCAAATTAATTTTAAATAATTTAGTTACGTTTTTATACAGTGCGGATTTGATGTTGTTGGGGGGTTTTTTTGGTTGGTTGGTTGGTTTTTTTTTTTTTTTTTTTTCCCGCGGGCTCCTGTGATGTTTATTTCGAGGAGCTTGTGAAGGCGGAGTGGGGAAAAAAAAAAAAAAAAGAAGAAAAAAAAAAAAAAAAAAAAGGAAAAAAAAAAAAAAAAAGAGAAAAAATGAAAAGGCTAAAAAAACCCAACCAACCAACAAGGAAAAGGCTGCTGGTATAACTCCTTCCCTGCCCTCCCCGCGCTCCGCCGGGCTCGGCCGCGGTGCTGCGCGCCCCGCACCGCCCGCACACCCCGCGCGGGGAGCGGGGCTCCGACAGGGACATTCCCGTTCCCGACCCCCCCGCCGAACCCCCCCACGTCGCACACACCACCCCCCCCCACACCGCCGCCGCTCTACCCGCAAACTTCATTTTTTATTTACTTTGCCTTATTTTTTCTGTGTTTCCCCAGCCGCTCCCCCCTCCCCGCACCCCCGCGGGTGCGCAGCGCGGCGGTGCCCGCCGGGGACCCGCAGCCTCCCCGATATATCGCGATCTGCCTCCAGCCACGCAGCCCGCTCTGCTCCTTCACCACCCAGCCCTGCCTTTACCCCTCTCGCACGCTGCCCCGGCGAGAAATTATTGTGATTATTATTATTATAATGAGCAAAGCGATGGGACCCGGCTCGGAAGGAACCAGAGGAGAGCTCACCTTATTTAGATCTATTTTCTCATTTTCTTGAATTTTCTTCAGATCTGTCTTCTCAGAGAAACTAATGCCTTAATGACTTTCTGGTAGCTGCAAGCCTTCTTTTATTTCTGCTAAATATATGAAAATGTATGCAAATTTAAATCAAGCTTAACCTAGGAGCTCTTGCAATATATTTAATGGAATTTCAAACCAATAAGGGGACTCTGATGCAGTCTTCTGGAAGTGCAAATATAATTACGCAGCTCGGTTACCTCCGAAACGATGCGGGGAAAGGTCATTTTGGAACTCGGGAGCGGGTCGGGGGGTCCCGGGACTTCTCCTCCGCCCGCCCCGCCGGGGCTCGGGGGGTGCGGGGCTGTGCCCGGCGGGCCCTGCCGAGCCGGGGGGCCCGGAGCCGCCCCCCCGGGGGGTGTCCGGGCACCGCACGCGCCTTTCCCCCCGTTATTTTCCCTTTTCTGGAGTTTTTTGCCCCTTTTTCCCGTTTCGCCCCGCAGTCCGCCCGCCGGGCGCGCACCGCTCCCGTGCGCTCCGCGCCGCCAACTTTGAGAGACACCAGCGGGATGTACCGGCGGCGGGGCCGGGGAAGCTCCTTTTGGGGCTGCTTTTTATTATTTTGGGGGGTTCTGAGTTTTCTTTCCCGACGGAGCGCGGCGGCCCGGGGGGCGGGGGGGAAGGAGGGGGCGGGCGGGCACGGGCAGCCCGGGGCGGCAGCACCGCGGGAGGAGCGGAGCGGGCGCTGAACCCCCGGAGCCCGGCCCGGCGTGCGGGGGCAGCGGCGGGGGCAGCCCCGGGGTGGTCCCGCAGCGCAGCCGCCCGGGCGCCGCCGTTTAACCTCTGCCGCGCTCTCCCGCGGCGCTAATCGCTCCCCATTTAAGCCGTGCCCCCCACGCCTCCCCTCCCCTCCCCGTTCCCATCGCTCCCCCGTTCAAGCCGTGCCCCCCGAAGCCCCCCCGGTGCCCGCGCGGCGCGGAAGGAGTTAACGCGGCGGGGCCGCCTCGCGCCCGGCCCCCGGTGCCGGCGGAGTGATTCACTTCCTGCCTCGCGCCCGCGCGGCGCCCCGGCCCCGCCCCCCTCCGCCTCGCCCCGCCCCCGCGCCGCTCCCATTGGGCGGCGCGGGCGGCGGCGCGGCGCCATTGGGCGCGGCGGGTGTCAGTCAGCGCGCGGCCGCCGCCGGCCCGCCGTGCCGCTGGATGTCAAAGCCCGGCGCGGCGGCGGCCGCTCAGTATAACTCGTGGGGCTGCGGCGGCCATGGCCACAGCCGCCTCCAACCCCTACGGCCTGCTGGGCGCCGGCGCGCTCGCCCACGCCGAGGGCGCGGGCATGCAGCAGGGCAGCCCGTTCCGCAGCCCGCAGAAGCTGCTGCAGAGCGAGTACCTGCAGGGCGTCCCGGGCAATGGGCACCCGCTGGGGCACCACTGGGTGACCAGCCTGAGCGACGGCGCGCCCTGGCCCGCGGCGCTGGCGGGCGGCCCGCTGGAGCAGCCCGACGTGAAGCCGGGCCGCGAGGACCTGCAGCTGGGCGCCATCATCCACCACCGCTCGCCCCACGTCTCCCACCACTCGCCCCACGCCAACCACCCCAGCGCCTGGGGGGCCAGCCCGGCGCACAGCGCCTCGCTCGCCGCCCCCCCCGCCGCCGCCGCCGCCGCCGCCGGGCAGCCCCTCGGCGTGTACTCGCAGGGCGGGTTCGCGGTGGGCGGGATGCTGGAGCACGGCGGGCTCACCCCGCCGCCCGCCGCCGCCGCCGGGCAGGGCTTGCACCCGGGGCTGCGCGGCGAGGGCGGCGGCGAGCACGGCGAGCTGGGCGGCCACCACTGCCAGGACCACTCGGACGAGGAGACGCCGACCTCGGACGAGCTGGAGCAGTTCGCCAAGCAGTTCAAGCAGCGCCGCATCAAGCTGGGCTTCACCCAGGCCGACGTGGGGCTGGCGCTGGGGACCCTCTACGGCAACGTCTTCTCGCAGACCACCATCTGCCGCTTCGAGGCCCTGCAGCTCAGCTTCAAGAACATGTGCAAGCTGAAGCCGCTGCTGAACAAGTGGCTGGAGGAGGCCGACTCCTCCACGGGCAGCCCCACGAGCATCGACAAGATCGCGGCGCAGGGGAGGAAGAGGAAGAAGCGGACCTCCATCGAGGTGAGTGTCAAGGGCGTGCTGGAGACGCACTTCCTCAAGTGCCCCAAGCCGGCCGCCCAGGAGATCTCGTCGCTGGCGGACAGCCTGCAGCTGGAGAAGGAGGTGGTGCGGGTCTGGTTCTGCAACCGGCGGCAGAAGGAGAAGCGCATGACCCCTCCGGGGGAGCAGCCGCAGCACGACGTGTATGCCCACGGCGTGAAAACGGACACGGGCTGCCACGACCTCTGACCGCGGTCCGGCCGCGGGACTGCCCTCGGGGCTTTAACTTATGCTTTCGGGAGTCGCGGCGCGGGGTCCCCGCCCGCCGCCGCCTCGGCAATATTTTTATTCCTCTCTCCGACCTTCCCGCTGGTCACACACGGTGTTTACTCGCAGACAAGGTTTGTTTTTCGGGCTCCGCTTGGACGAAGGAGAAAAAAAAAAAAGCGAAAAAAAAAAAACCCGACCACACGACAAAACAAAAACCCAAACGGGAAAGGAAAAATAGAGAAGAAAAAAAAAAAAAAAAAAGGAAAACCCACGGGAAAAAAAAAAGAACATTAAAAAGAAAAACAAAACAAAAACAAACACAAAACGAAAAACCCGACAGAAAAGGAAAGACAGATGTGTGCCTATGAATAACCTTCCAGCGCCTTGGTTATATCAGCTGTATTTCAGGTGAATCTGTTTTACAATAGACTAGTTTTGCATTTTTAAAGACTTATATAGCGTTTTTAAATGTCTGAGGTGTTTTACTACAAACTGTACACAATATTTGTGACCTAATTTGTACCGAATCGAGCAGTCAAAAGCGTTTCTCCCTTGCCCACGCCACCGGCAATGTCACCCAGCGGGGACGGGGCAGGGCGGCCGCGGCCCTTCCTCGTCCCCCCCCCGAGGACACGGGGGTCCCTCCGCACCCGCGGAGCCCCCGCACCGATGTGAAGAACAGGCTTATTTGTTGCAGCTTTTTTCTTCCTTTTTCAAGAACTTCCCAACACCGTAAAACGGTCGGGTCACAATCCTGACCTCCCCCTCCCACTCTTCTCCCAAGGAAAAAAATATTATATATATATATATAAAAAAAAAATTATTTCTAAGAGATTTACCCGAAATTAAGCATCACAACCAAACCCGTGGCATTTGCCAGTCTTTTTTCTTTCCGAAGATGAGTTGGGCTTTTTGATCAGCGCCAGACTGAGAGGTCTGTAGTAAAACACCTTTATCCTTCTGCGCTTTGGCTTCGGAAATTGGTTTCTCTGTATTTTGTTTCGATAGTGAAGAGGAATGAGGTGTCTCATGAATTTCGGGGAGCCGGGGGGGGGAGGGAGGGAACGGGACAGAAAACACCCGCATTTGGTTCACGCTGAGCTTCTTTCCGTGTCACAGGGAGATGCTGGATTTGTGGAAAAGCTTTTAGGGGTGGGGGGGGGTGGGGGGAGGAAATATAATCAGCGACAAAACGAACAGGGAGAAAAAAAAACCAAAACAACAAAACAAAGAAAAAGTCAGTAAAATGCTAAACGCAGAACCCTTTTTTGGGCACAGGGAGGTGCAGAGCTGTAACCGCCCCCTCTCCTCGCCCCTTCTTGGACACAAGGACGGGGGTGCAGCGCCCACGCACCGACCCACGGGGGGGATTGGGTGGGTGGGTGGGTGCTCCCGCACCCCCCGGGGCCGCCGGGCAGGGCCGGGCTCCCCCAGCACCCGGGACCCCCCGCACCCGGGACCCCGCACAGCCCCGCTCTCTCCCCCGCCCTCCAGATGATTTTTTCCTTTCCACATTTATATTTTTCAAGTATTTTTCAGTAAGCGCTAAAAAAAAAAAAAAAAAAAAAAATTAAGGAAAAAAAAGAAAAAAAAAAGAGAAAAAAATAACTCGACACTGAGGACCTGCCTATTTCTGCCAACTTTATAACTGTCCAGTTTTGTATATTAAACGTTTTTTGGGAGTTAGTGATTTAAAGAAAGATCACTTAGTTTCTTCATTTAGTAACTGCTGTATAATACACGCTATTTTCATTCAAGGTTGCTTTTTTCAACTATTTTATCCAAAATTGCCTAGTGCAGTTGCCCACAATTATTTATTTTCAATAAATTCCGCAGTATGTTAAAAAAAAAAAACCCCCCCCGCGCGATCCCACAAAAACGTTCGGCGACCACACAAAACCACTCCCGGCCAGTGCAGATAAAAATCATAATGAAACACACGAGTGGCTGTAACGTTTGGTTGTCGACCAGTTTTAGTCAAGGGGTTTATATTGACGCAATATTTTATTGTTGTAAAAGGAGAAAAAAAAATTAAAAAAAAAAAGTTTAAATAAACATTTTTACGAAAGAAAAACAAAATAAGACGGAAAGCTCCGGGTGCGTGGTTTGTGCGGTGGCCGAGCCGCGGTGCGGGGGGTGCGGGGGCTCCTCGGAGGGGGCTCCGCATCCCCGGGCAGGGCCGGTGCCCTCGGGGCAGGGGGTCCGCGGGGGCTCATCCCGGTGGTGCCGGTTACACCTGCCGCGGGAAAGGCGGTTTTTTGGGGGTCGAAAAGGCGCTTTCGGGGATGGAAAAGGCGCTCTTGGGGTGGAGAAAGGCCCCTTCGGGATGGAAAAGGCGCTTTTGGGGGCGGCAAAAGGTCTTCGCGGCTTTTTCGGGGGTGGCGGGGCCGGGCGGCGTGTGAACATAACCAGGGAGCCGTGTGTGTGTGCGCGGGTTCTGTCGGCGTTCGTGCATCTCGGTGCTGTGTAGCGGCAGCGGCGCTGCCCCCGCCTCGCCCCCCGCAGCATCTCCCCCTCCACCCGCGGCTGGTCCCCCCCGGCATCCCCGCGGCCCTGGGGACCCGCCCGGGGGTCCCGTCCCCACCCCCCCCACCCCCCGAGCCGGGGCACGGAGGAAGTTTCTTTTGTTCCACGCTCGCCGGGCCGCGGGGGCTCCTCCGGCCGCCCCCCGCTCCCCCCGGGCGGGCGGCGGAACAATAACACTCCATCACGGCTAACGGGGTGAGACGGGGCGGCCCCGGCCCCGCCGCCCGCCGGCTGCTGGGGGAGGCAGGCGGGCAGCACGACTTCAAGGGATCGGCAGCGAAACGGCCTTTTATTTCTTTCTGTTCGCCTCTCTGAGGCCGAACCTCGGAGAAAACAATACCCAGCCCTTCTGCCAACAGTTTAGGGGGAGAAAATTACCTTTAGGAATCCTGAGGAGCGACCCGAGCAGGGAGAGAGCTCTTGTCTTCAATAGCCAGCGAGCGGACAGGCGCCTTCCCAACAACCCGGCCATCCTGTACCTGGGAGCGAGAGGGATTTGGGATGTAAACAGCGGGCGAGGCTTTGTTTCTTAACCGTAAAACTGATTTATTTCATTTGTAAGTCTTGGCGAGCTGCAGCACCGCAGCTTTGGGGACAACTGCCCCTGTGCTGGGCAGCAAAGCCCCCACAGAGGGACCACAACCTCCAGCTCTCTCCGAAAGGATTACAGCAGCAGGAGAAGGAAATATAACCCCCAAAAGCACGTTTTTCAGTCAACTGCAGGAACAGGATAAATGCACACCGGGGACCAAACCAGGAGTAAACGGCCGCGGTTTGGAAACAACCCCAACTAAGGACACGGATGAAAAGCTTCAGGTTAAAACATGCCCTGCGTGGTCACTCTGGCTCTGAGCACACAGGGTCCTGAGAGGCAAAGCTCTTGAAGGCAGCCTTGGTTTGGAGGAGGGACAGAAGGCGTTTCACTGAAATTAGCCTGTTTTAGAGCCCTTTGGCTGCTCTGTAAATACAACCACAGCGAGGGCTGGGCTATGTCTTATTTTAAAACAAATTAGGTTAAGAGACAAAAGAGATGCAATGAAAGACGAAATCAAGTAAGTTTATAAACAGGAGCACTTCAAAGGCCGCTGGAAAGCTGGGGAAAATAGGGAAGGAGAATTTTGTTTAAAGAAAAGAAAATCTCTGCTTGTTATTGCCCGTCGATTTCAGTGTTCTGCGAGCAAAAGGAAACTCTTTTGTGCCACCTAATGTTAAGTACAGATCACTGTTGTCTTCTTGGCTGCCCATCTTCCATGGTGTGCGTGGGGAGGCCTCGGGGTGCTGAGCCCATCGAGGTGGAGCTCAGCATCCCAAAGTCCCACCAAACCAAGGGCAGGGAGAGAAACTTCAGCTTCGCAGTGGCGGAGCAGGTTACCTTCTGAATTTAGGAATTTTTCAACAAAAGAACTCAAGAGGGGGTGGAAAGAAGCACGGGGTAGAATCATAAGAATGAGAGACTCCAAATTTGGTCTTTGTTATAATAGGGTAACTCCAGGAGGAGCATATTCAAGGTTTATATAAGCTGCCCACCACCAAGGATCCATCTCAGCAGCCTCTGGGCTTGCAGCAGCTTCTCCCTCTGCTCTCCTCAAGGACCTGAGTGGCCTGGCCTTTGCACAGCCATGCCTCCCAGCTGGAGGAATTTTGGTGTGTATTTAGCAGCCATTCACACTAATTTAGTAGAGAAATACCTCACACAATCCTTTAAAGAAAGGATTGAAACAAGCATTTTGCTGATAACAATAAATTACGTCGGTTTTGTGATTTTAGTGGAGAGCACTAAACATCTTAAGCAGTTTTTGAGGCTGAATCTTCTCTGCTTTTCATATTATACAAAAAGAAGAGAACCAGAGGCTTTCTTTGGGTTTAAATTTCAAATATTTGTAAGCTGTGTTCTCCTCCTCTCTAAAGAAGGCCAGGACATAGGAGGGGGTTCTTTTCAAAGCAAAAATTACTAAAAGGAAGCAGAGATGCCATTTCACTTTCTATTGGTCATTACAGATCATTCGGAATATGGACCAATATACCAACATTTGACCAAGATGTTTTTAAAATCCCTCAAAATTTGGTACTTTGAGTTTTTCTTTCAGTGTTTTTAAGTAGCAATTCCCTAGGTTCAGGCAGAGCAGACTAGAGCAACCTGGTCCTCTTGGGCCATGTACCAAAATCCCCACTGGCTTTAGGGCAGATCCACATGTGGATGGAGGCACATTGAAAACCTAAGTCCTTCCTCCAAGAGCATGTGGGGCTGGGGGTGGATGCTCTTCAGTCAAGGATCTGATCCCAAAACCCAGACAAAATTCATTGTTTTACTCACCAGAGCAGCTTCCTTGGAATCCAGTGAGTTCTCCATGCAGATGGAATTATTCATTTGTCTTTGCACAGTCGAATTCCAAGATTCCAGCCTAGAAAAAAAAAAAAATATATATATACACAATATTTCAGGCAGGTGATCAGTCCTGCTGATCCCCTAAAAGCCCCAGACATCAGGGCCTACAATTGTACTCACTTTCCCCTTTTCCTAGAGTCCTGTAACCAATAGACTGGAAAGGCTCCACAGCAATTACATATTTAGGATATGTGATAGCTGCAGTTAAGATCTTTACGACTGATTGCAGGATAAAATTTACTTCAAATGTGCAAGAGCCCATTTTTAAACCTCAGTCTTTCAGCTGCTTTCCATTAGAGATATTCCAAAGAATCAAAAGCAATTAGAGTGTACAAAGTCTAAATGGTAAATAATTTCCAAATCAAAACCTTTATTAAAGCAATAAGCATCTATTTTTGTTAACACTGTAAGAGATGGAAATGGCCAAAGTAAATAACTTTTGGTTTAATGTCATGGAAAGAAAGCCAGACTTCTCTACTGAAGAACAGTAGAGGGAATCTTGCTCCAGATGGATTTTGGGTGGAAGTTTTAAGATTTGGAAAAGCAGGGTAAGAAAGAGGATTTAAAATTCCCATTTTACACGGTGGGGATTCAGTGGGGCCGTGTTTTACACCCGCCTGGGAAGGGATCTGTAGGTGGATCCGTGGCTGGTGATTCCCAGCGAGCACCACGGCAGCTTGTAAATATTTGTAGAATCACGTCCTTAATTAGAGTTGTAAAACAGTATTAAATCTTGGAACGGGAGAGAAAGAGGAGAGCGAGGAAGAGCTGTCACTGGTGAGAGCCTGTCAACAAGAAGTTAAAAAACCAATGGTAAATCTCATTTCTGCAGGCTCTGGGTTTGCAGAGCCATCGACCGCCGGGTCCGGGCTCGGCAGCTCCTGATCGATGTTCTGCTGGCACAGAGGAGGTGGGGGCTGCAAAAACACTTCTAAAAATGTGGATATCTCAAGCAGTGACTCTGAAAAGCTGGGCAGCAGCTCTCCTCACCCCTGGTACTATTACAACACCCAAAATGCTGCTCCATTATTCCGCCGCTGGATTTTATTTTATTTTTTTAAATGATGCCAGTCCTTGAGTTCTGCGCCTCGAGTACAAATAATATTTACCCAGTGCAGAAGCGCCATTTCTGAACTGAAGTTGTTTTCCTTTTTGGCCGAAGCATGAAGTTTTGTTTTGCGTGTTTATCTTCAGACTTTGGGAAGGAAAAAATAAAATCAACCCAAATCAGCCCCACAGATCTTACTCACCCAAAAATGGTTGTGGGGAGGACACGATGGGGTCTGAGCTCCCCTGCCATGTCGGCTGGAGGGCAACTGGAGTAACACGAGCTGCTCCCCATCCAGGGCTTGTACTTCTGTCTAGATTATGGGATTAGTCTCTGTTACATCCATCTACAGTTGGGAACTTGTGATCCAGTTAAAGCAGCTTGAAAGGCGCCCAGCAGGTGCTGGGGGTCCGACTCCGCGGCACAAATTCGGCGAGTTACGGGGGGAAAGCAGGGCTGGCCTCGTGCCGGGCTGCCCAAGGCTCCTTAAGGGTGGGGGAGAAAGGGGTAAAAAGGAAAATCCTGCCAGAAAACACTTGCAGACAAGGAAAACCAGCCAAAACCTGTTTCCCCCCCTCCTCTAAATCCTGAAAATGAATTGCTGATGCATAAATACAAATGTTGTCAGACGTGATTTGGTGATTCTTTGCTGCCTCACACACAGGGGATCTCTTCCACCTAAGAAATGCTAATTCAGCCCTGGAATTCTGAGTTTGCAGAAACTGTCCTGTAAATGTCATGGGGGATTACCAAATCTACAGGAAGATTATAGCTCTGCATACATTCAGACTATTGATTTAGAACTTTATTACCTTTGATAGAGATTCTTCACAAAGGAAATAATTCAGCAGGGGGAATTCTGTCCGTGTGAAGCTTTTGCAGGGTCGAATCCTTCTGTGCAGCCCTGCTTTCAATAGAGTAGGAAAACCTCTGTAGATGATGCTAAACAAACACAACGAGCACAGGTATGACACAGCACCCTGTAAACACAAACTCCTGCCCTACTCAGCCCAAACTTCTCCTAACTGGAGCAGAAAGAGGATGCAACACATTCCCGTTTATACAGCCACGATAAGTTTTTAATGGAAAACAACATAGTATGGCTTTTACTATTGTGAGTTCTTCACAGTGTAGTAAAGCTGTAGTAGAGCCTAAGAAAATCTGCCTTTGTAACAAGATCTCTGCAGAAGTGAATACATGGTAATGTGGCTGGCAGTGGTTTGCTCAGAAAAATATGCATAGTAGGATATTTATAACAGGATTAGATTTCAAGTACAAAGCTGCAAGTTCAAAGATTTTGGAGGATGGTACATGAGAAAATGATAAACTGTGATTTTTTTTGAGCCTACAGTTCTCTCTGAACCTTTGTGGTTCAGCATCACTTGGGCTGTCTCAGCTGGACCTGAGAATACCGTGGTCCCCGTTGTGTCCCAGCCATCCCAGGATGGGATTCAGATGAGCACAACAGTCACTGAGTGAGGTCCTGGGCTCCCCTCCCTGTGAGCTGTTCTGTCCTTCCTCTGACTCCATGGGGTTGGAGTCACAGCCTGAACATCTCACATCCATGTTGGCTCTCGACAGTCTGTGCAGCTTTTCCTTCCTGGGAACAAGCCCTGCTGAATCTCTCTGAACACCATTCCTGGGACAAAAATAGTGCCTGGAGCAATTCAAACCCAGTTCTGTGAATGAGAGCACCTGTTACAGCACCTCCATCCTAAATCCAGGTTAAAACCCAAAGTCTGCCTTGGTTTATGCCCATTTACTCTGCTGCACACCCATTTCAGATGATCTCCAAGTGTCAAACTCACCGTGAACATTCCCTTCTCTGTAACATCCTTCATCCTTGCCTATAAAATACTTTTTGCTGCTTTATACAATATAAAGCACACCAATGAAATAATACCAAGCAAGTATTTTACTAGAAGATTTTTGAGGGTTTTTTCCTAATCTCCTAAAGAAAACACATCCACAATTCGTCCTGAGTTGCTACTACCCCTTGTGTCTTGTGGTTTCCACCCCTATTACAACTGTCTTCACAAGGGATTTATGCCAGGCCATTTCTTCCTCTCGCCCCAACCCTAAGCCACAAAACTGTGCTATCAGATTGTAATGCCTCATATATTCTAAGGGAGATAATAATAAACTGTGCTGCTCTGACCTTTTTGGGATTTGTGCTGTTGGATCCGCTCTCCGTGTCCATCCCTCGTGCTCTCAGCAGGAGCCTGTGGGGACACAGTGTGGTGGGGGCCACTCCAGCTACAGCATTTTGAAAAGGTTAAAGTCGATGTTTATGAGTCTATTAAATGTTTATGGGCTTTCACAGGCTACACCAGGCATTAAAATTATGATATCTCATTCTCATAACAAACACTGTAACGAGAGCAGGGAACGGCAAAGCACGAGCCTGGGCTGAAGGCAGAGCTTGGAATGAGGGGGCAAAACCTGCACAGTGTTAATTCACTCCTTCAAAACAGTCCAAGAGGAAGAGATGATGTCATGAACCTAAACCATGACATGCAGCAGATCACCCAACCAGGAGGTACGAGTGACCCATCCCAGCCAGCCTCCCATCTCCAACACCAACCCGCTGCAGGGGGAACCAGCAAACCCAAACAGAGACCAGACATCTCCATCAGAGTTTTTAAGCTAAAATGCAATAAGGTAAAGTGTTTTGGAGATTTCTAGCACAGAGTTGTGCTGC